CTAGCAATGAGAATTCGTGTTTCGTGAATTCGTGTTATTGGTTACACAACATGTCAACACCTTTTTTGTTCATGCAACAAAATTACTATGTATACAGAAATGTATAGTATACATAGTAAAATGATACTATACTAGAAATTGCAAATTATTAAAGCATAAAAAAAAATTATATCATTGTAATTATTATTAAGTTATTATATTTATTATAAATTAATAATAAATTTAATATAAAAACTTTCTTATTTAAATCTTGTTTAATCTTTTTTTAAACATTTAAGTTTTCAAGTTTTCGTGTTTAAGTCTTAACTTAGGTAAACGAGAGTTTGTTTAAACTTCCTAGTAAAAAAAATTCTTTAAAAATCTAGTCAAATAATTCAAATAATCTCAACTTTTTTCATCTCATCAACTATAATATTATAAGAATTCAGTGTCAGGTCAGGAGTATGGTCTTCATGATCATCCTGCTACTGGTAACATGTAACCCAGTGCAACCTGTTCCATGTTCTGCTGCCTTGCAGGATTTACTTTCTAAGCAAAGGCTGGAAGGAGTGTTCTTCCTGTTATCAGTACTATCTTATATCAGTCATGCCTATAGTAATTTTTTTTTTTTTTTAATATAGTTGGAGGTGCCTTAGTTACTGTATTAGCTCACCTGTAATCTACGTTATATGTATGTTTGTGTTCTGTCTGAACCTCTGGCGCGGTGTTCACTCACCCGTAAGTTACTTTATGTTTTTTATGTATGTTTGTGTTCTGTCTGAACCTCTGGCGCGGTGTTGACTCATCCGTAAGTTGATTTATGTTTGTTTGTGTTCTGTTTATACTCTAATGCAGCGTAAGCTCAGTACTAACTACTTACTCCAACTACAAAACCTACACTCACCTTAGACTCCTGTATTTTATTAGATGCAGTGTTTTTCCTAATGCACTTCCAAAATGTCATGCCTGGTTTTCTCAAAGTACTGTTGCGGGAAGTAACTCCTTTTAACTACTCCAGGTCAGGTCAGGATAATCGAGATCAATCTTGCTACTGGTATCACGTAACCCAGTACCACCTGCCACAAGCCCTGCTGCCTTGCAGAGTGTGCTCTTCTTATGCAAAGGCTAGGAGAAATAAACTCCGACTAAAAATTCCCCTGCCTTAATGCTCTTGGTTGAGTAAAGGCTAGAGGTGGTGTCTCGATAAAAACACTCATCTTGGGCAGATGTTAACTGCATCCAGCTAAACATCCCCTGCCTTGGGGCTCTTGGTTGAGTAAAGGCTAGAGATGGTGTCTCGATAAAAGTACTCATCTTGGGCAGATGTTAACTGCATCTTGCTACTGTCTTGTAGAAGGCCTCCTAGGCAAAGACTTTAGGGGTGAGCAGAAAAATTCTGCTAACTAGCTTGAACCCCTTCTTCATCTATTGGGCTGGCGTAGATGTAACCTGTGTTACATTGTTTCCTGCCTAGGATGATGAATGCTGGATCTCCTTGAATCTACTCATAGAATTTTGCTTATGCCTCCTTGATAATGGCTATGCAACTCTTCCTGTTATCTCCATATGAGGGTACAGCTCTAAAACTCAGTTTTATGGTTCTGAGGCCGGCTGGTAGTAAGGTTTCCCGAACTCTGTGGTAGCTCTCAGAGAGGCTGATTCCATCAACAGCTGCAAAATATCAGAGTATTAACAGTGCCATGTTGCACATGGATGGTGTCCCTGTTAATGCTTTTGGTGTGCATTGTCAAGGCCACATAAGGAGCCCTATGTCACGGCTTAGGGTTAATTAACAGGACTGAGACAACTGCATAGCTCATTGATTAGGAGGCTGTGCTCTATCTATGAATGAGTCTAGTTCTCATTAAACCCAAATCATGACCAAAGTAACCAAAAATTTAAAACCTAAAAAACCATCCCCACCACCTAAATATTTTAATATATCTTTTACAAATATTCGCGGTCTACGAAGCAACTTTCCATCAGTTGAGTCTTACCTCCTGCAAAATTCACCAGACTTGCTTGCACTCAGTGAAACAAATTTAAGTTCTGCAATTCCTTCTTCAGATGTCAGTGTTGATGGGTACTATCATTTGATTCGTAGAGACTCCAATAGTCACATGCTAGGTTTAGGGGTATACATACGCATTAATTCCCCTATTTGTTGTGAAATCAGGTTCGAATCTTTTGACCATTCTTTTATGTGCTTTCGCCTAGCACCTCTTCACTCTATCACTTTTCTCTTTGTTCTTTATCAGTCTCCTTCTTCCCATGATTGCACTCTTTTAGATGTTATCTCTGATCAAATTGACCATGCCTTCTCTCTTTACCCCTCTGCCAATATTGTTGTTGTTGGTGATTTTAATGCCCATCACACTGAATGGCTTGGCTCTAACACCACTGATCCTGCTGGCACTAAAGCCTTTAATTTCTGCGTTTCTCAATCTCTTACTCAGATAGTTAACTTTGTGACTCGTTTTCCTGACAACCCTAATCATTTACCTTCACTCCTTGACTTATGTCTTGTCTCTGACCTTAGCTTATGTTCAGTTTCTCCCTTTTCTCCCTTAGGTGGTTCTGACCATGCAATGATCTCTATAAATCTTTCTTCTCGTACTTCTTTTTTGGGCTCACCTTATCATCGCACTACCTACTACTACCCTAAAGCTGACTGGGATTCCTTTCGTGATTTTCTTCGTGATGGTCCTTGGGCTGATGTTTTTTCTCTCTCAGCTGACAAATGCCCCTCCTACGTAACCCCCTGGATTCAGGCTGGGATAGAAGCTTTTATTCCTTCTCGTCGGTTTCAAGTCAAGCCTCATTCTACTCCATGGTTTTCTCCTTCTTGTGCGGCTGCTATATCCAATCGTAATCATTTTTTTCATCTTTTTCAAAAGAACAACTCTCTTGAGAACAAACGGCTATTTATTATTGCAAGAAATCAATATAAAAAGGTGCTTTCTGATGCTAAACTCCATTATTCTCAGTTCACTAAATCTCGCATCTTATCGCAGAAGTTAGGCTCTAAAGACTTTTGGAAAATCTTCAACAGCATTGTTAACAAGGGTAGATCTAACATTCCATCTCTCATTCATGGGACTGATCTTATTACCTCTCCCAAGGATAAGGCAGAACTATTTGCAAAGAACTTTTCTTCTAATTCCACTCTTGAATCTTATGGACATTCTCTTCCTTCCATTCCAGTCAAACAGGTTGACCCATTGTTAGACATTCAAATCACTCCAGCTTCTGTTGCTAAAGTCATATCTCAATTAAACTCGTCTACAGCTTGTGGTCCAGACAACATTCCTGTCACAGTCTTGCAGAATTGTTCTCCAGAACTTTCTTCAATTCTCTCTAAACTATTTAACAAGTGTTTGACTGAGTCTTGTTTTCCTGCTTGTTGGAAAATGGCATCTGTGGTTCCAATATTCAAAAACTCTGGAGAAAATTCTGACCCCTCCAATTATCATCCGATCAGTCTTCTTTCTGTTATTAGCAAGGTCTTTGAGTCTTTGATCAACAAATTCCTCACATCTTATCTTAAGTCAAATAAACTACTGTCAGACATTCAATACGGTTTTCAATCCTCTCGCTCTACGGCCGACTTGCTAACTGCTGTAACGGAAAGATTTTATCGTGCATTAGATGGAGGCGGTGAGGCTAGGGCTATTGCTCTCGACATATCTAAAGCTTTCGACAAAGTTTGGCATGCTGGTCTTCTCCATAAGCTTGCTTCATATGGTGTTTCTGGGAAAGTTTTTGAGATTATCAGATCATTTCTTTTTAACCGGTTTATTAAAGTCATCCTTGAAGGCCAACACTCTTCTTTATTTCCAGTACCTTCTGGGGTTCCCCAAGGTTCCATCCTGGGCCCTGTTTTGTTTCTTATCTACATAAACTATCTTCCTGACAACCTTTCATCTAAAGTAGCTCTTTTTGCTGATGACTCAACTTAATACTCCTGTCTTGACAAAAAGTCTTCTCTTTTTGATCGCCTAGAACAAGCAGCTGATCTTGAATCCGATCTCACTTCAGTAATAGATTGGGGTTCACAGTGGCTTGTGAATTTCAACTCTAAAAAAACCCAGTTGCTTACTGCAAACAACTACCGTAATATGGTCAACATTCCTATATTAATGAATGGCAATCCTCTTACTGAGTCCTCCTCTTTACGTCTTCTTGGATTATCGCTTACTACTGACCTTTCATGGAAACCATATATACAATCGATTGCTAAATTAGCTTCTGCTAAGGTTGCTTTTCTTTATTGTGCTCGCCATTTCCTTACTTCTGATTCCATTCTCTGCCTCTACAAATCTCTTATTCGTTCCTGTATGGAATACTGTTGTCATATTTGGGCTGGTTCTTCTAACGATTCACTTTCTCTTCTTGACAAGGTCCAAAAACGCATTGTAAATGTTGTTGGACCTGGACTATCTGCTAAGCTTGAACCTTTTTCCCATCGTCGTAAAGTTGCATCTCTTTCTCTTTTCTACTAAAATTCATTCTCATTTTACTCGTCATTTAGCTAAGTCTCATTTTTATCTGTCCCTGCATGCTCTAAAAACTTTTATTCATCTAGTTTTTTTCCCTGCACTTCAATCCTTTGGAACTCTCTCCCATCTTCATGTTTTCCTGACTCATACAACCTTCAACTTTTCAAGTCTTCTGTCAACCGTTTCCTTGCTCTATAACTCTGTTCTTTTTTTCCTAGTAACTCCCAACTTAATAGTGGTTGCTTGCAGCCTTGTTGAGAGTGAATGCAAATAAAAAAAAAAAAAAAAAAAAAAAACTTTATTATTAATCAATATAAGAAACATTTTAGGCTGTTCCTTATTTCGATCAGTATCTTAAGTCTAATTGAATTAAATTTATTATCAAATTAAAATCTTCAATTGTCAAAGTTAATAAATATATGGAGTTTTTTTAATTTATAAAAAAAAAGTTAAAAATTCTTTTATTATTTTATAATTTTCTGGTTTAAATGGGTTTTAAACAAATTTTTCAATAAAACAAACCTTTAAATCTTCATTACAATCTTTTTCAACATTTAAAATTAATGCATTGTGGTATTGAAATCCACCCCATTCCTAAACAAATTTTAAACCTTTAAAGATAAAACATTTAAAATTAATGCATTGTGGTATTGAAATTCACCCCATTCCTAAACAAATTTTAAACCTTTAAAGATAAAACATTTAAATATTCAAGTGGAAACAAATTAAAAACAAAAAACAAAAAAAACAAAAAAACAAAAAAATTAAGGATGCAACATTGGTTTACAGGAAAATCTAATCAAAATACATAACTTTATTATCAGTAATTAAGATGGTCATTACTAGTAAAATGGGTACAAATTATTTTAAAAAAAAACCTAAGAAATTATGATCATTTATCATTAGTAGAGCATTAGTAATGAAGAAAGTGCAAAAGTTATCATTAGTAGAGCATTAGTAATGAAGAAAGTGCAAAGGTTATCATTAGTAGAGCATTAGTAATGAAGAAAGTGCAAAAGTTATCATTAGTAGAGCATTAGTAATGAAGAAAGTGCAAAAGTTATCATTAGTAGAGCATTAGTAATGAAGAAAGTGCAAAAGTTATCATTAGTAGAGCATTAGTAATGAAGAAAGTGCAAAAGTTATCATTAGTAGAGCATTAGTAATGAAGAAAGTGCAAAAGTTATCATTAGTAGAGCATTAGTAATGAAGAAAGTGCAAAAGTTATCATTAGTAGAGCATTAGTAATGAAGAAAGTGCAAAAGTTAATTAGTGCAAATTATTGTGTTTAGTGCACAGCACTTAATTGGAAACTAACAAGAAACTTTATGATAAAGATAATTAATATTTATCAGAAAAAGTAAATGAACACAAAAATTTAACTTGTCCAGAACAAGAATATTTATCAAAAAATGTAAGTGAACTGAAAAACTTAACTAGTCCAAAACAAGAATATTTATCAGAAAATGTAAGTGAAAACAAAAATTTAACTAATCTAGAACAAGAATATTTCTTAGAAAAAGAGGTATTTTATGATAATGATAGTTTATGATAATGATAGTTTATGATAATGATAGTTTATGATAATGATAGTTTCGAGGTATTCTTCAAACTAATGATCTGATTGACAAATGTCTGCTGATCAAATTTGAAAAATTTTTTTTAATTATAAATTTTGTGCATTTCAAAATAATTTTCAAAATGTGCAAGATTACCAGTAATGATTCTTTTTTGTAATGATGTTATTTGTTAATATTTTAGTAGGCCATTTAGCTATTTTGGCCATTTATGTTTTATTAGAAAATTGTTATTTAGATAATAATGTAAAGAAACATGATATCTTAAAAATTAACTATTTCTTAAATATTTAAAAAAATTTAATAATATTTGTTTGTTTATACTGAAACTAATTTATTAATATAAAATATTAATTAATGAATAGCAAATTTGTATTTATATTTTATTGACAGCCACAGTTAAAAAAATAATGAATAGCCAATTTGCATTTATATTTTATTGATAGCCACAGTTAAAAAAATAACATAAGATTTAATCATTTTAAAAGTAGATCTTTAATTTTAGTGTGGAATTTAAATATACTTAAAATAATTTTTTTTTATAATAATATGATTATATTAACAACATTTTAGAGTTTCATAATTTCAAGAAAAGTAATAAATATAACCAGATCTGTAAAACTGTTTAAAATAACTTATTGTTTGTTAATCATTTAATATTGACATAAATCATGTTTAACTGAGTTATATTTTAAAATTTAGGGGACATTGGATACCATGAAACATTGTAATTGTAGGGGCACTTTAAGAATTGTGACAACCACTTAGTGAAACAGCTACTACTAGAGCTATGTTTTGCAAAAAAAAATTATATTATTTGATATTATTAGGCCTGCGAGGGGTCAAATTTTGTGTTTTTTTTTTTTGATTAGGAAGTAATTTATTAGTTTTTAAAAACCCTAAGTTTTAAGGTTAAATATAGTTATCAGTAAGTAACATAGTTTTAAGGTTAAATATAGTTATCAGTAAGTAACATTATTTTGTTAACTATAATCTATTAGCTCTTTATCAACTATAATCTTTATTAACTATAATCTATTATCTACGTTATTAAAAAAAACAAATTGATACTAAAAATAAAGTAATTGTTTTCTATTAGCAAGTATAAGATAACTTGATACAGCATTAGTGGGAGGCCCTAAAACTGTAGAATCAAACTTCATTGTGTCATTAACAGTTATAAAATTCATTTCTTTTAATATTTACAGTCAATTTTAAGAGATTTAGGTAAATAAAATACTAGGAAATCCAATATCGATACAAAGTTAACTTTTGTGATTTTAAAATTTACATATTAAAATTATTTTTAATATGTAAATACATTTTTCAGACAATTAACTAAAAGCTAATAAAATAGGGTATGTAAAGAATAAATGATAGATGCAGGACATAAGGACTACCATGACCCATACTATGAGTTCTGACAGCTAGTATGATTTAATTGACATGTATTAAATTGCTGATTGTAATAAAAAATTAACAATGCAAGACTTGCTCATAAAATAATAATGGTTGATGTACATTTTTTAATAACATATATTTTTCAAAGAAAATAATTGAAACCTGAGTATATTTAACTCTGCATTTCAAACCAACAAAATCATCATCATAAGTATCATTACTGTCATCATCAATTGACTCATTCTAAAAAAGAAAAAAAAAAAAGTAAAACAACAAATGAGAAAATGAAAAAGAAAATTTTTTTTTTTTTAAATGCAATTGTTACAATTATATTATCTTGTCAAAAGTTTATTTCCAAAAGGTAAATTTATTATTTCTCTCATTTTTAATAAAATATAGCAAAACCATTTGCTAAAAAATATAATATTTTTTGTACTAAAAAGCAAAAAATAAATTTTTTAATTTAAATTTAATAGTTCAGTAAACTAAAGGTTGACAGGTATGTTTTTATATAAATCTTGTGCGTACCTGTCAATCTTTAGTTTACTGAACTATTAAATTTAAATTTAAAATTTTTTTTTCTGCTTTTTAGTACAAAAAAGATTATAATTTTTAGCAAATGTTTTTGCTATACTATATTTTCTATTTTTTAGTCTTTGGGCCTACGTTTTAGTCTTTTTTCAATTCAATATAGCCTAGGCACCATGCCACCTCAGATTTTGATGATTTTTGGTATAAAAACTTAAACTAATGAAAAAAATTTCACTCTAAATTTTAGTGTCTGACTCTTTACATTTTCAGATATTTGTCACAACAAACATGTGAATTCCAATTTGAATTCAAAATGTGAATTCCAACAAACATGTGAATTCCAACTCAAAAAAGTCTCAATGATGTAGAAAAAGACCTGATATTTAATTGGTCTGGCATTGAAATCGATGGAAATGTAACAGTTTGCTTACACCATGAATATGTTTACTAAGAAGTTATTTCACAACCCACATAACTTGCTGTGATCCATTTAATTAAACAATAGAAAAAGAAGAAAAGGATGATTGACCAGGAGAACCAAGTTGCAGCCATATTTATGCAGATGAAGATAACAAACATACTATAAACGAATTGTTTAATTAAAATCTGAAATTTTCTTTAACGGCTATGAACATAATTTCTCTCAAAACACATGCTGTAAATAGTCACTAAAGAGTTGAAGAAGTTATTACATGTTCAAAAAACAGTAAAGCTAGGTATTCCTAGGACTTTAAATATATAACATGATCAGTTAACCCATAAAGTTTCCTTCAATAAATTATTTTAGGAAAAACGTAGAGCAAATGACATGGATATACTTATAGGAAAAATTTAAGAAAAAATGTTAATTTCCAATAAGAATTAGAAAATTCAATTATTAACATTGGATCCAATATCTAACAAATGTATAGAAAAAGAATTTAATGTTACTAATTATATGGTGCAGATATCACGCAAACTGCTGCAAAAAAATGCTATTTTGTCTTTCCCTAAAAAAAAAAAGGAAAGGAAATACCTCAAGAGACTGTAGATAATGATTAAAATAACAGGCAAATGTTGGGTAAAAAAGATTTTGTGAGTATAGCTTGAAGATCTCATATGCAAACACGTTTGGTTCTCTCAAATCTAAAAAAGCTAAGTTTAAAACCAGTTATCCTGATATAAAAACTTGTTTTTCTAAATTTTACTCACATCGTCTAAAATGGTGCAATGGAGCATCTAGTACGCATATAGTATGTGTGAGCAACTACCATCAAAATGTTAAGTTAATGAACTAACAAGGTTTGCACAATACATTGTTGCTCTTTGTGTCTAGAAGATTCTATATCAAGACATTATTAACATTATTAACATTATTAAACAAGTTGCACTCTTAAGAAGATATTGATAAAGATGGTGATTATTGTATAGATTACAAACAATGGAAGACAGCACACCAATTTGAGCTGATAAGTCTAACAGAAATCACAAGTAGCTTCATTAATACTCTAATAAGTTACAAAAACTTACTGTTCATTCTTACATTGCAAAAAGTCACGCTTCTTTTTTAAAGAAATTAAAAAATGAGTTCAGTAGTACTGAGGTCATTGCCTTTGAGATTTCTCAAAAAATAATGAGTTTGTTATACAAGACAAAGTACAAAGTTTTCATTTGAACAATATTTAAGCAACACTGCATCCAACAGTAGTTTATTATAAAGTAAATAATGTCTTCAAATGTGATTCAATGTTTAATCTCGAATGATTCACTGCATGATGTAGATATGGTATATCATGTGATGAGGAGAGGAATCCTCATCAATTTGCTTTCCACTAGCCTCTTTTTTCTCTCTAATAAACATTTTTGCAACCCTTGTTGCCACTACTTGGTCCACATTGCCTAAATTGAAACTTCTTTTTGGTCCTATCTTGAATCATTTGTCCTTTAAATATTTTCTTTTTATAGCAGGGACCTAAAACAACTAAGGTATTATAAAATTGAAATTATTTTAATTTAATATGACAATTCAATGAAATATAAAGTTTCAGTCAATTGATTAGAGATAAACAATTGATGCTCTTTTCTTTTACTTAATCTACCATTTTTGTGAGGTGTATCTGTAAATGCACAATAATACATTTTCTCATATAGACAAACATGTGTTTCATTGTGCACTTTTCCAAAATCTAAATGTTGATTGTTTTACTATTAAATCAAAATCATTTTCAAAATATTTGTTAGCAAAGCATTCAGTAAACCTTAGAAGATGGTGGTGGTGGTGGTGGTGGTAGGGGTCAGGGAGGTTTGGATAGGGTTTTGGATTTTTAACAACACAATATAAAATATAAAATCCTTATCACTTAATATTTAAAAAAATTATTTTAAAATTATATTTAACAATCTTTACAATCATCAATAATTGGAATATCACACAGACAAGCAGACATATCAAACAACATTTCCAGCTTCTTTTTTAACCAGCTTATACTGGGTATATGGTTTCTATATTGAATCAGCTCTGCAACTAACACTATTTGAAATGTTCTGAAATTTTATTTCTCAATGGTTTATTCTTTATCAAAGGTTAAAAAAACTGACTTTAATCACATCAACTTTCAATTTTCAAGTCAAAAGTAAATTTTTTGATGATAAAAATCTTTTTCAAACTTGTAACCATAATAAATGTTTTTATGTTGGTAAATTGTTCATGTGTAAATTATAGGATTATCTACTGAATCTTTTTAAATATTATTTCTACTAAAGCCTTTGTAGGTCTTCTAAACTTTTTTGAGCTTATGTTGATATCACAATATGAGCTTATTATTTAATTAAAGAATAAAGTGAGAATCTTTCTTTTAGCTTATCAAAGTAAAATATACTTTGGAAATTTAAACATGGTATAAACAATTAATAATGTTATAATTCCACATAAAAACATTATATAAACAACTCATAATGTATTATTGAGTTATTAGACTAATTATTAATTAGTTACCAGTCCAAGTCAAAACATGATATAAGCAAATAATAAGTTTATTTATCCAATTAAAAGCATAATACAACTATTAATGTTATTTGATAAATAACAGCTGCACAAAAAAAACATAGCAAATACATAACATGCAATACATAATAAGCAATACATTTTTTAAGTGTTCATATTATGTATCCACTTAATAACAATTAGTTTATGTATTAGTTTGGTAAATATATAATAAAGTATATATTTACCAAACTAATACATAAAGTGCTGTTGTTTCCTGTAAATTTGTCAATATTAAAACTTTTAAACGATCTGAAAGTGTTATTTTATTTCTGGACTTAATGTAAGCCCACTGTAAAAATTGCATTTTTTTATTTGTATTTCTTAAAAAAAAATTTTTTTGTGGCAATTAATTATTATATATTCAATACATAAACTACACATTGAATCAAGTGATATTCCATACACTGCAGTGGTTTGATATGCAGCTGCAAAACTGTTACTAGGCACTCGCAGCTATCAAATTTTTATTCCAATAAGCAACACAAAAATTGGAACTTAAATTGTTTCTGAACAATTAGAGTATTCATTTGTTTTCAATTTTCAAACTGATGCGGTTTTTTAAAAATTTTTACCCTTTAAGGTCATATTGTTGTCCTTCTAGAGATGATGTGTGCTGGGTTCCATCAACAAACTTGTAAATGAATAATATTCCAATAACTGTCACAGGAAGATAATACAAAATCAGTGAAATTGATCACCAAATCATTGAAAAAAGCTATATGATAAACTTTAAATTACAGTACTAATTTTTTTATGAAACTGTTAAAGATAGTTAATTCTTATTGCCTTATTTTAATTTTTCTTATTACAGTTAAATTATTTCCATGGCTATTCTTGTAATTTAGATATTTTTTGGGTTTAGTATTATAAAACTTTAAATGCAATTAAATCTGATTTAAAAAGAAAACCCTTGTAGTTTTTTTTTGTATTATGGTGTTTGTTATATAAAGAACATTAGAAAAAATTTCAGAACCATACCTCTTAGGAATCTCAAGATAAACATTTTTTGTATGTGGCATCAAAAAAGTATTACATCATTTTGGAATTAAATTTTCATATAAAAGCTTACATTTTTTAGTGTTTTAGCCCTCATTTTTGAGTTCCTCTCTGTAATAAATAGTAAGGTACAAATATTTACCACTATTGAACAAGTATTTCATATGTTAAAGCTAGTTGTAATAAGTAATAAGCTTAAAAAAATGGCGCTGAAAAAAGCAGTCAAATAAGAGATTGGGACTGAGTATCAATATCTCTTGAACCATAAGGAGTTAGACATCAAAATTTGTAATTAAGTTTTTTTAAATTAATTTAAGCTTGTATTCCAAAAATTATCAAAATCTAATATGGCATGGTGCCCAAAATTTTTTGGGGTTGATTTGGGAATTACCCCTTTACAATGAGTTATGGTATTTAACAATGTGAAATATTGTTATTTAGCATTGTTATTGTTATGTCCCAATATTTTTATTAAACAGTGTTCCCTAGTAGCAAACAACATTGGTGTAATATTGGTACGATGTTTATCTTAATGTTGGCTAAATTTTGTCAACAATATTGCACCAATAAAATGTCTACATTTTGATATATATATAGCAAATACTGATTTACAATATTGGCTATATATCAACCGCAATCATATAAATGTGGACATATTTTTTTCATCATAATCAATAAAAAAACAATTAAA